ATGAAGAAAGTGTGCATCAAGCGATAGCACGTACATACATATATATATATATATATATTAGCATTACTAATTTGTTACTCTTTTTTATTTGCTGCATATAGAGTTAATTAAATTCGATGATGCTGTCTAAACATTTGCAATCTATTGAACATTTTACTTATTATCATCCATATAAATAAATTATCATATTTATATAATCAGCATTATTTATATTATTTATATTTGAAGTATATAAATATCATTATTATTGTATGATGTTTGATCAACGTATGGCATTGTTACAAATTCAATTCTTAGAAATTTGTATTTTTACGATTTTTAAAAAGATAAATATAGCCTATTCCGTATATATAGCTTACTAGACTATTCCATCCTATAGCAATTGATTAAATCATGCAAGGATCAATTATAAATTCACTTTTGATCTGAATAGCTAATCGATCGCGAATGCACATTCATTCTTACGTTGTGATCCTTCAAAATGATTTTATTGTCATTTTTTAAATTCATTTACATAATTTTATCTTGTATTGAAAAGATAAAATATAAAGATTGAAATTAATTAAAATTTGCATTGATATAAATATTTTCCATTTGAAATTAATGACATATGTTTAAATTCCATTATTGTATGAAAAATGGTACATGACCTCGAAAATTACTTTCGACAATAATAACCAACAATAAACATTAAAATAAAAAAATGGTCTTATGAAATATATATTAATTCTGTATTTCAATGCAATTTCTTGTTTAATGCAACTTCCAATTAATTAAATAAATTACATATATAATTAAATATATAATTATTTGCAGTTACTATAAACATATTTTTATTATATTACATATTAAACATATTAAAATATTTTTACGTATTTATAATTTTATTTAAGAAATATTTTGAAATCTGTATATTGATATAAATTTATAGTTATCGTAATGGAATAAAAGGAATAAAACTAAGATTTTTTATTTAATTATTTTATTTTTTCATACATTTTTGTAATTTAATTTTAAATATAATTGGTAAATATTGTACAGACACGGAAGCGAATTTTAATCCTTGATTCAATTTGATAAATGTTCGATCTTCTAAAAAACTGTACTTTTAAGTATAACTGTATTAGTAAAACCGTTGTAAGTTGAAAGAATTTTGAAAAGAAAAATAATTATTATAAATTTAAAATCAAAAGATTCTAAACTATTAATACCGTTTTATAACAAAGATGATGCAGTATAGTCAAATGTAATGACGCAAAATTACATTGTTTTGGAAAAGTATATAAGTCAAGACAGAGATATTTTATAAAATATAATAATTCGAATTTTTTACTTGCTTTCAGATCCAATTCAATCGATTTCGAAGTAGAAATTAATATTGTCATGCATACAAAAAATAATAAGTATATATTTTTTCGTAAGCCAACGCGTACAATAATGAAAGAAAATTCACTGAAAGAAAACTTTGCTTGATTATTATTAATAATTAATTGTAACTTTGATTTAAAAATATAATAACATAATAATACAAAAAACATGATATTGAGATTTCGTTCAGTGTATGTATATTAATTACAAAATCTTCAATTCATTGATTTTTAATTAAATATAGTTAACCTAATTTTTCGACTTACAAACACTTCAGTATGGCTATTATAGAGTTTGTTTTAATTACTCACAGTAAATCGGCTTTATTATAAAAGGTATACAGCGAAAGAGAATAATGGCTATAATGAAAGAAAAAAATAAAAAACTTTGACTCTTCAAATCTTTATCTTTGTATTTGTGAGGGTGTGCAGATAAAATGTGTATATTAGATAATTTAATGTCTTTGAAATCATGCTGCGATACTGAAATATACGCTGTTGGCTTTAAAGCGTTATCATTTGCAACAAAAAAATTATAATATATTTCATGAATTACTTTTCTAATAGACAATACGAATTTCATAATTTAAAAATAAATTTTAATCTAATCGATCATTATTCATTTTCCTATACGTTTGTTATGAAAAGTAACAAACAATACTAATCGTTTAAAGTTTGCTTTTTGTGCTATAATCATTCTAAAATCTAAAAATTCAGGATTCTTTATTATTGTAATAATAATTAATACAAATATATTTATTTTTTATTCAATTTCAGTTAGTATTACTATATTTTCTAAACTTTTAATTAAAAAAATTTTGTTATAACGTTTAATGTATTCGATGTAATTGTACATGGGAATTTAAAGCATTTTCATCATTGATATAGAACGGCTATGCTAAATTCACTTACAGCTGCTCAAAGTAAATTCTTTAATTATAGAAAGTGTCGTTATTTAATGATCGGCAAAACTGTTAATGTAATATTGCCTAAAAGTCATGCAAATGAAATTTTTTAAGATATATATGTTTGAATAAAATAGGTTGTTTTATTTTATTTATATACTGAAAGTGACAGTAACATTGTAAAAATGTGGCTCTTATCGAATGCAATTCAAGCAAAAGAATTTAATTAATTAGCTGTAGTAAATCATACTGTAATCGTTGTCATGAGCGTGCACAGCTCGTGTGATCGAAGTATAATAAATGCGAAAGGCGAATAGAGGGAAAGAATTACGGAAAAAGTTACTCATGAAAGAGGAAGCCCTTCAGGTACCACTGGGTTTTCACTTGTTATGACCTAAAAATGCATGGATCCCATGCGTACCGTTGCACTGATCTTCGTCTTTGCTTTAGTGAAGGAATGGGACTAATCTTTTTATTTAAGAAGATCATGATTACATACTCGTCTAGTTATTAATACCAACATTATATAATACATTAATACCTGCAGTTTCATCGTTCCTAAGTGATCATCTATTTCTTATATTCTCAATTTTTTTCCTTTTTTCTAGTTACTTAATTCGAGAATAATTGTTAATTTACTGCTACTAATAAAATTAATCGATGCGTACATTAAAATTTCAAGTAAGATTAAAATTTTAATAATATATTTTGAAAGAAAACTTTTTCCAATAATTCATTTATGTTATTATAAATATTTATTATAAATCCAATATTTCATTTATGCAAAAAATTGTTTAAGCATTTTGAAAATAATTTATTTATACTTTGTGAATTGTTATATTTTTAACAATTTTAAATTAAATGCATTCCATTACATAAGAATACAATTTAAACAATAAATGATTTTTTTATTATTTTTCAACAATTTTCTGTACACAAATTTCAAATTATCTTTTATCATATCTTTTATTATTCAATTTGTTTCAATGTGATAAAAATATTACTGAAAATTAAAATACCTTATATTAAAGTGAATGCTATTTCTCATTCTTGTACAATAATTATGTTTAGTTTATTAAAAACATAATTTTCATGTTGAAATATTTTTCTAATAATTTATAATTTAGCACTCACTTATTAAAGTATGTATCATTATTGTTTGACATTTTATATTATTGTTAAAAGTAGTTCAGCAAAAAAATTATTTGAAAAAGCATTAAATAACTTTTCTTTAAAAAATGGTGCAATTTGGTAAAAATTAACGAGGTAAGAGTCGACTAATAATTGTAAAGGCTTCGGTTATTGAACTAACGCTTAGCCTTTAAGAAACATACGTCCTAATTTTCTCTGCTCATTGGCATTTTTACGCTTAGACGAATATCTCTCTACCTTTCGTAATTTCTCTCGACTGCAAGTATAGTATAAGTATGAGGTGCGATGATGTCCCCCTTTCTACACTTTACTTATATATTCAAGATTTGCACGTTAACTCTTTATTACTTTTCCGATAAAGACTCGTTGATAAGGTAATAATGCATAGATTTTTCTAAGTTGTACCAAATTAGTAACATGTAATTGTTTCAAATTCAGATACATCGTTACATATGGTGTTGGATATAGGTCAGTTATTTTTTTAATTTCTCGTATTATCGAAATTAAAAATTTACATTACAAAATTTATTTATATAATTATTACAGATAATCTTTGTATGAAATTTGTTAGCATATTTCACTATATGTGGCTTTCAAAATAGCTTACCTTGAATAATACTTTTAAATTAATGTAATTTGTAATTGTAATCAATTAGAATATTCTATATAAAATATTAAGAAAAATTATGTTATTAAAAAAATTTATTTAATAAAATATATCTTTTATATCTTTTATATTTTAATAAAGTATATCTATTATATTTAATAGTTACTATCACCATTAATTGCAAATGATATAAGTGTAATTTGTATACTTGTTATAGATATTGGTTCTAATTTCATCTATTTCATTTGTACTTTTTCCATTTTCATTATCAATTATTTTTGTATTTATAATCTTTATATGTTTTTTTCTCTTACTAGTAATATTAACTTTTATTCTTTTTTATTAAAATAACCTTGAAATCATTTATGAAACACAAATTTTGTGTAAAAATTATAGTAGCAATGTACTGAATGTTTATATATTGGAGATGTAATGTTAGAAAAATATCTAGACATATATTCAATATTTCTAGAAATTTCATAATAATACTAAATGTTCTACATTAAAAATAAAGTTGTAATCTGAATATAAAAGAAAAATGTATGGATCATATTTTATCCATGACGTTAAACATAAAATTAAAATTAATCTATTATGAAATAAATTTAAAAATGTCTATCCATTAATGTATTCTGATTAGTGATTGATATGCTTTTTATCGATTTCACTTAAATAAAGATAATTTGTAAAATAATCATTATATAATATAATTATTATTATAATGCACACATATTTTAATTTTTTTTTATTATTTGACATATAACACTTGATTCAATATTAATAAATTTCTAAATTTCGATTTATATAAAAATTAATTATTTACCTCTTTAAAATATTAATGTATAATATTGAAAATTGACTAAATTGAAGGAATTAACGTTATTGTATATCCATTATATTATACCATACTTTCTATCATTAAATATTATGTTTTGAGTGTTTTTCAAATGATATCCTTTTAATTTTCAGTTATCCCAGCTAGTGATGTATGCATTTGAGATGGGATATTGGCGCAGGCTAATGGATGGTAGCGTACTGGTATCTAAAAAAGAACGATTGTCGTATTGAAGAGAAAGAGTTTTTCAAAATGCGGAAGAGATCAGGTAAGATCCCCGGCTATCCAGTGGGGATTTGAGGGTAACTGACAATCTCCACCGTAAATTAGGAGATATCTAGTGACAATAACTACAATGACGAAGATGATAATGATGAGATCGACCAAATTGAGATTATTAATTGGTCTGCATTGCATGGATAAATGTAGTGGCAGTAATGAATTCATGGTATTTTATTTAGCATGACGGACTTCTTATGCCTTACAGTTTGCATTTAATTTGCGAATGCTCCGTTCAGTCAACGCAGCAAGTTGAATCTAATTCGTGGTGGAGTACAAGTGTTTGTGTTATAATAGATTAATTTGGAAGATTTGTCATTAATTGTTGCTTCAAAAAACATATAGTTAATCAAAATGTCATTTTTGTCAAATCTAAAAAAAGCATTCCACTTCGGTGGCAATGACGCTAAAAAGAAAAAACTGTATAACAATATAAAAATGGACGTTAATCCGGAGGAGTTTTGGGACATGATTGGTGAGCTTGGCGACGGGGCCTTTGGAAAAGTTTATAAGGTAAAAGTAGTAATTAATTAACAATTAATCTAAGATTACAGACTAATTGAATTTCAAAGACTTATACAAGCAGTACAGTATCGATAGTAAAGATTTAGACAAAATATTTTCAATATTCAATATTGTATTCGAAAATTTATTTTAATCTTATGTATTAAAATAGTCTCTACGTATTTCTATTATTGGCTTTTAATGATAACGTTAGATAATTAATTATTTAAATTAGTTTTGCGGAATAATCGGTAGGGCTTCGTCATTTGACCTAGGTCGTACAAAATTGGATTATATGCTTCCATGTTGACGATTTTGTTTGATCTATAAAAAAAAATATTTCGTATAAGCCACTTCTTAATTAATGACGGTAAGAATTTAAAATTGTTGTGCTTCAGGTGATTTCTATTGCCCATAATTTAAAATGACGTATAAAATTATTATTTTATAAAATTTAGCGTTTAAGAACTTTTCACTTTGTCCATTAGTTATTATATATGTGTGTGTGTGTGTGTGTGTGTGTATGTGTGTGTGTGTTATCAAATTTAAGAGAACGACTTTTAAAAAAGTTAATCATACTATTGTTTTATTTTATTGAATAATAAAAGAATAATTTTATAACTCATTTGCTATTATTCATTACAGTTCTAGCGGAAACAGCGCAATCTAATGTAATAAAACGTATTAAAAATAGCTATTTAATATCAAATAAATACGTTTATCTTTGAGAAAATGTAAGCATACCAATCGTAAAAATTGTTTCTTTAAATATTTATTTATTGAAATTAATATACTACAGTTAGTATAATATATTTTAGCTTTAAATAAATATTGTAAAAGGCTTAAAAATATTATATTATATACATTTTGCTAATATTCATATTACTTTAAAATACATAAGTATGGATTTTACTCTCGCAGACCACAAAATATTCTGCTTTCTATAATTTACAGTTAGAAAATATTTATCTTAATACTTTCTAAGATTACTAAACTTGTAATTTTAATTAATTAATTCTAAATTATGGTTATTATTTATCAATAGGCTCAGCATAAGCAAACGCATCAGCTGGCTGCTGCGAAAATGTGCGCATTAGAAGGAGAAGACGACCTAAGTGACTTTATGATTGAGATTGACATTCTGTCAGAATGCAAGCATCCTAATGTCGTCGAACTTCACGAGGCCTACTTTATCGAGGGTAAATTATGGGTGAGTAACAAAAAGTATGTTTACAAGTTGTTGTCCATAAAAAGCCCGTTTAGATAGTAATTATATATGATATCATAATTTTTTTTACTTGTTCAATTAGTTATAGGTATTTAAAGTATTGTTTAAATAGTTACACTTGCTTAATCTTTTATTTTTATAATATTTTTCTTATTTTCCATATGAAAATTATAAATGGGTTAAGAACAATTGCAACAGTTACGAAAACTAAATACGTATAAAATTCAATAATCTTTAAAATTAATAAATATATTATTTTCTTTTTCTTACTTTATGCACAAAATTAAAGAGTTTGTAAATATAAAGAATTGTATATAAAGAGTTAACCATAGTAAATTTCAAAACCTTATCACTTTATTAATTAAAAAACTTACAAATCCAATCACAATTCGAACTAATTCGAACGAAATATATTTTTTATTTTTCGATTCTTTTATGTATTTAATATTAATTTTTATTCAGATGTTAATCGAGTATTGTGATGGAGGTGCTGTAGACTCGATTATGGTAGAGTTGGAGAAAGCACTTACAGAGCTCCAGATAGCCTATGTTTGCCAGCATATGACTAAAGGTCTTGCATTTTTACACAAAGCTAAGGTCATTCATAGGGATTTGAAGGCGGGAAATGTCTTGCTGACAATGGCCGGTGGTGTTAAAATAGGTGAGTCACGTAATAAATTAATGTTCACATAAGTAGAATTTATGATAACGTATTTAATTTAACAATTTTTTTTATTATTAAACAAATTTTTCTTATTCTTTTTTTTTTTTTTTTTTTTGTTTAAATAAGTTATAAAGTATTATATAATTATATTATATTATTAACTTATACGAAAATATGAGCATTCTCAATTATTATTGTGAATTTGTTTATTATAGCGGATTTTGGTGTATCTGCAAAAAATAAGTACACATTACAAAAGCACGATACATTCATTGGTACTCCTTATTGGATGGCTCCAGAAGTTGTTTTATGTGAAACTTTTCGAGATAATCCTTACGACTTCAAGGTTATTTAAAATATATTAAATTGTTTAAAGTAAATTTTATTCTTCATAATCACACACACGTGTGTATTATTATATTGCTTTGGATATAAATAAATAAATATTTATTAAAATTTTTTTATTATTTTGTATATTAAATAATCGTAAATTATAGTCATTTAGTTTGTCTTTAAATGAATTTTAATTTCTAAATATAAATTTGTATGCAATATAAAGTATTAAAGATAAATGATATGTAAAAGTCATGTAATAATAAGCTAGAGCCTCTTGCAAAATTTTTATTTTATGAAAATTATTATTTTACTATTATGTCTTGAATGATGTTATAAACATACATATTCATTCTTAATAAATTTATTACTAAGAGTCAAAAAGTACAATATTTCATTAATAAACAATAATTAGATATGTTAATAAAATATATGATTATAGGTCGATATTTGGTCACTTGGTATAACTTTAATAGAGTTTGCGCAAATGGAACCACCAAATCATGAGATGTCTCCTATGCGCGTACTTCTTAAAATTCAAAAAAGTGATCCACCGAAACTTGAGCAACCAAACCGCTGGAGTAAGGATTTTAATGATTTTATTGCCAAGGCCTTAATAAAAGATCCGTCGATGAGGCCAACTGCTGAAGAGCTGCTCAAGCATCCATTTATCAGTCGAAATTTGGATTCGAAACCGATCAGAGATTTATTACTCGAATACAAAGCTGATGTAGTTGAAGAAGAATTAGTCGACGACGAAGCTGAGGTATGCATTATTTCTCTCAGATACATCTTTTGTGATTTTTGTAGAATATTTCAATCGTATTGGTATCTATTCTTGAAATGATTTAGTTGAATTATAATAAATTCTTTTGTCATTAATAAATTTTGAAGATTTCTAAACAATATTTATTACATAAGTTATAACTACTTTATTTTATGACTTGTAATATATAATGTATATTATGTGTGAGTACAGACGTGAGGTATGCAGTTACATATATATTATTGATATACTCATATTTGAAAATTAAATGTTTTTAGGTAAATTTTATTGATTTTTTTTAAAGTCTTACAAAGGATGTGATTCTTTTTCGATACTTTTCATATTACAAAGCATAAATTTCAATTATATTATATTAAAACATTTTTTTTTAATAACTAATTATATATCTAATTTTTAATATCTAATTCGTTATAAATATTTTTAAAAAACCATTGTTATAACAGTTAGTAATATTAAGTATGCATGTTGTTTGATGTGTATTGAATGAAATTTTACTCGATTCAATTTTATTTTTTAATAATTACATAAATATTTAAAAACGATTTAGTATTTAACATATACATTTATAAGAAATCTTTGTAAATATTGGCCAATGACTTCATTGCTTATATTTTTCCTAGCTTGTAAAATAACGGGACTTATAATATTGAAAATATGATTGAAAATATTATTAAAAAACATTAGCTTTAACAATTGCTATAATTTTTTAAAAACAGTTCAAATACTATACATAAGTAAGGATGAAATATTCAAATTATGAAATCAATATTAGATGCGAGTTTGATATAAATATAAATCTCTTAAATGAAATATGACAATATTTATTTTTAAATTAACATTAAATAATGGAAAATTTATCCATAATATTTATATTGTTTTTCACAATTTTCAGTGCTATATTCTATGATAAAATAAATATAAAAGCAAACAATATGCATTAACAATTTATATTTATTTTTAAAATAATAATATAAGTACAATTTTAACATTTATTACATATTAATAATGGCAAAAAGTTTATAAATCGAATCTTGTGCTGCATGCAATCCTTTAAATTAATATAATTAAGAATTTTAAGCTGTTGAATAAACATAAGTATTAAAAATTACAATTTTCGTTGTGTAAATAATAATAGAATGTGGACTTTTGTGCGAAATAATTTGAGATGCACTTTCACATAACTCTAAATAAATTGTACTGAATTAATGTAATTTAATAATTCATTAATATTAATATATTACGTATATGTGCCTTGTTTTTACACGCTTACACGTTAGAAGGCTAAAAAGGCGAAAAAGCACAGAGAACAATATCAGCGGATTGGTAAGCTGCTACCCAGTGACTCTATTGCGCTATTTACTAAGAGTCAGTCAGTCATGTCCTGCTTTGCCTGCAAAGTTAATTGTGTGATGAACGACGTTTAATTGTTATTTATGTTTATTTTTTTTTTCGGTGTATATTATACTTATCTGCTACTTTCAGAAATGTCATTTTTCTTTTTTTTTTATCATTTTTATACTACTTAGGAAAGGTATTACTATACTAACTCACGCGCGTGCGCGCTTGCACATACGCACACATTCACACATCTACGTACATACACGTACTGTATAACTCAAAAATTTGTTATTATATTGTTTTATTTGTTCATTTTGTTTGTCTATAAATGAAATATTCGTCTCCATATTAGGCAAAGTAATTACCAATAAAGCTTTCAAATGTTCAAAATATCAACACTTTTTATAGTATATTTACAAGATAATTAAATTAAATTAGTATTTTAAATACATGTAATTATTCATATAGAATTTTTGAAAAAAAAAATATTTTAGAAAATTGAAGCTCATCTATTTATAAACTTTATTGTTAACTCGATAATTTAAAATTATAAATAAATAAATAAATGATTAATTTTAATAAGCTTTAGAATTTATACTAGAATAATATTTTTATCAATATTTTTAAAAGTTTACGAATACAAGGGATAGTAGTTCATACATTTTTTTTAATGAGAAACAACAGTTTTAAATGATATTTCGAAGTCAATATTTCATTATTTTTAAAATAAAAAATTTATAAATTATTGTAAGAGTCTTTTATTATTAAAAAATCTATATATTTTTAGAGATTCCGAAATGAAACAACGAACTTAAATTTATTCAATATTTAGAAATATATAATTATAGTAAATGAAACTTGTATTCGAATGAAATTACAAAAATAACGAGTTTATATAAGCAGTTAATTGCATGATAATAATTTAGTACGTAAGCAATCATTTTATAATTGTTATAGAATCATATATCTTGTAAAAATATGATTTTAAAGTAAAAATAAATATAATACAATCGAAAAGAAAAGCATAAATATTTGCTTTATTCTTAGGCACACACATTGCAAGTAATATTTTGTATTCAATTCCTTGATATAATTTTATTTACATACGTCTATTGAGCTATTTAAGCTTTTTTAGATTTTATTTATGATTCATATTTTCATTTAATGACATATTCATTGTACTTAATAAATAATAACTACCTGCCTTTCGAGGTTTATTATTTTTTATTTTTTCTCTTGAACTATATTAAATAAATTAACTTTTCTAAGATGAAAAAGTATCTAAAATACGATTACTGACTATATAATATAAACAAATGTGAATGTATTGTTGTAATTGAAAAATTTGGCTGTGCATGCGGCTCACCTGGGCCTCGCCAGCCCCATCACCCGTGCGTTTGCCAGGTTAGTAAGCTTCAAGATTCATAATAATGTTCTTTATTATTTTTGCGTGCTCGTGTGTTGTGTGTGTACACGAGTGAATTTATTATGCACTTTTATTGATTTTATTATATTCTACATAATAAAAATATGGAGTTCTAAGATTAATTACCTAGCAACTTTTAATGTATACTAAATTATTCTATACTAAAATTATGTATTATTGCAACTTAGTAATGGTAAATTGAATTTTTGTTTGTTAGCGATTCTTACATTAATAATACGATTAACATTTTTTTAAGTACATTTGCAAAATTAGTTAAATTTTTTATTACGTTTAAAATTGTAAATAACAAAGCTTATTAATAAGCTTCTAATCTTTCATTTAGTGAATTTTAATTTGTAATCTTAGTACAAATTTAATTACTAATTTAATTTTTTGTTATGATTGATAATATGTATTTTTTATTATATAAAAAACTTATAAATAAGAAAATAAGTATCCATTTTTATTAATATCTAAACGGTCTTTTAACATTTAATGTTTTGGTATTTTTATCTTTTATCAACCGAATATAAATTTGAGGCTAGAAAAAATAGAAATATACTAAATAAAATATTTAAGTAAATGAGGGTTGTCACTTTTATATAGAAACCATAAATAAATATTTTATAATATTTGCTTGGGAATGCATAAAACAAGTTTATTTTATGTGCACATTATATAATTCTTTTTTTTATAATTTTGTATTTATAATTGTGTAAATCTTTTTTTTTAAGCTGCTAAATACAAGATATTTATGGACCATTAATTAATCTGAATATAAATATTTAAACATACATCGCTACAAATAGCCAAAATTTCATAATAATTTTTAATAAAATTTTATTAAAATAATTATTTTTAACTAATAATTCTGTAACTAATCGTTAGTAATTAATACTGTAGTATAAATTTTACGTTTAGAAATAAAATTTTTAGTAGTGAATACAAAAGCTTCCATATAATTAAATATTATTTAAAACATGAAAAAATTACTATTATTGTCTTTGATTTTTTTTGCATCTATTAAACTAAATCTTATTTTTAATAATATTTTAGTATTTTTTAGATAAATGTGAAAAAATGTTGTTTCACTTCTAATTGATATAAATAATACCTACCTACAATTTTCCATGATAAATAAATTATTATAAAAATTTTGTACCTAATTCTAATATGAAAAATGAATATTTATGATATTATCCAGGACATACGGCAAAGGAATATCATCGTTCGCAATATTTAGAATAAAACAATTTTGCTTTTATATCTTATTTGATACAATTCCTCTGACGTTCTACAAAATTCTTATTATTTTATTTCATTTAATTCTTTCTATTATGAAGTTAATATCGCCTTCTTCCGCCATTATAATATAATTTTTTTTAGGAGCAACGCACGTCGCAACTTCCCCTGGAATTGGATCAAATCGGAGATGACTCTGTATCTGTCCGCAGCGACAATGACGTCAAAGGTAAAAGATGAATAGTAAACATGATTTAGAACATTCATATAATTTCGAATTTGAAATTTGGATATTTTATTTAATATATTCGTACAAAAAAAGTATCACTAACATCTTGTTTTCGCGAATACGGCATGTTTTAATTGTTTATGTGGTAAGATGGCAAAATATTATGTGTACGAGCTTTTTGAATTGAATTAAAATTATCATAAAAATTAAATCTGAAATTTTATATATTTTATATATAAGATTACTTTATTTGATAAATAATGTTATAGTAGTAGTTTTTACTTTTTGCACTCTTAAAAACCTAAAAAATTAAACAAAATGATACGTACCTTAACTGAATTATAAAGTTATAGAAATAATTTAATTATAAAAATCTTTAATGATTTATTTATAGTATTATATGTTCTATCACGTATAAAATGTTTAAAATTATAACGAAGTAATCACAAAAATTTAAACATTATATCCTACATTGGAAATGACAATACTGTTTGTATAGCGCTTAATTAATTAAATTTAATTTACTTGAAACTTCGTAACTTTTTATTTAAGTATTTTTTTATACTGTAATGATTCTAAGTTTATATATAATGTTTATAATTTATTTATCATATATAATATGAAATTAGTAATATAATTTTTATTATGTAATATATACCAATTACAAAAAATATTGATTGTTATTATTAAAAAATTCGTTTTGTTACAGTCACAGAAAAAGAGACAGCCATCATAGTACCGGCGAGTGCAGCGAAGAGAGAAGAGAGTAATAAAAGAGAAATTAATAGAGATGGTGAGAAAGAAGAACGTAGTAAAAAATTACGAAAAGCAGAATCCAAGGAAAATATACCCATATCTGTGGAGAAAAAACCAGTAAGATATTTATTTTATATCGATTAAGTCTAAATATTACATATAATTACAAAACTTTAATCAGAACAGTTAAAGCAATTGAATGGATTTATACAATATGAAATTCTTATAATAATTAATAAATTAATGAGTAAAATTTGGAAACGGTTTACTATATATCACTTTTCAATTAAAAAATCGACTTATGTAAGTAAAAATTATATATAAACAAAGAAAATAAAAAAGTAAATGAGACCAAGGGATATAGGTTTAAATCTTTTAAGCATTAGCTTACGAAATAAATAAAATAAATGGATATTGGAACTAATAAACTTTGGATGATTTTCTGCGCGTAGGCACCGAAGCCGCCGACCGTTGCAGTCGCCCCGAACGAATTGAGCGAGCGGCGATTGTCTCGAGACAAAGGTCCGGCACCTCTTCCCCCTTCGATTACACGTCAGGAGAGCCGAAATGATATTGAGATGGTTTCGAAAATTGGTAAAAAGTTGAGTCCCATTGATACGGCCAAGGACGATCAAAAGCAGCCCGAAACAAGGTCCCAGGTGCAGGAAGAGTCGCAGGAAGTCACAAACGGCAAAATTAAGCAGCAACGCGATTCGGATACGAATAATCTGACTACGTCAGAAAAATCTCTGGTCAAAGATCAACAGCAACCGTTGAGGTCCAAAAGTGTTGAGGACAAAATGATAGTATCGAATAAGGCTAAACAAATTAGCGTAGAGGAGAAGCGTAAGTCGGCGCCAATCAAGCCCGATAACGGTACAGAAGAGGATTTGAGAAAATCAAACATGGATAAGCAGAATTCATTTGAAGAGGATAGGTAACGTAGATGTAACAAATAAAATTATTTATGAAATTAAACGATCTTCAATGTTAAATATTTAAGGGTTAAAGTGGAATCATCGACTGATTGGAACCGTTCGCCAAACGATTGCAAATCAGATGAAATCAGTCGCCATAGTCTTCAATTGAAGCGCAAGTCCGTGGAGGAAAAACTCAAGGCTATGTTGGAAAAGCAGCTTTTAAGGGAGTCGGGCAAAGAGCACCAGCAACAAATGAACGAGCTTAAGAATCAAATATTTTTCGCGTCAGCGAGCAAAGATGGTGGAAGTCCTCTTAAAATGAGTTCGTCGACGGGCGATATTGCGTCTACTGTGTTCCTTAAGAGGATCAACGACGAGGACGCAAAGTGCCGTAGTGAAGGCTCATCGCGTAACGACTCCCTTGAAAATTTGTCGGATGTAGAAACCGAAATCGCCCGTGAGAATGTTGCCCCTGATGTGGTCGATAGATCCAAAAACCAAAATGCGGGTATTAACGTATCTGTCATCACGTCCACGCCGATCAAGAGTAACATATCGAGGAGTTCAAGTGGAGATAACATCGTCGTTATCACTGGTATACGATCGTGCACTTGAGTAGCATTAATTTATAGAAATTTGTGGTGCATAATTATTTATTAAAAGTGAATCGACATTCTTCTAAATGCTCTATCTGCCTATATAATAATTGTTTAAGGACAGTAATTAAAATGGAAATTTTTTTTACAATATATTGTATTCACGGAATAACAATCAATTTTCAAATTATTTTATTATTTATATATATAATAAAATAATATTTAAATAAATTGCATAACTGAATAACTCTCAATTTTTGAGATATTCTTTTTTGAAGTTATTTAATATTATATTATTATTTTTTAAAATTAAATATCAATTCTCTTAAATTCAATTAATTCTATGATTACAATTAAAATTATCGGTCAACATCAGTATATTAAAAAAGATAATTAAATCATGGAGATGAATTAAATTTTCATTGATTGAATACATTGTAATTTTTCAATGAATAGATTGCCGTTTTAAATTTAATTCAACAATACTTCTTATTATTTATAAATCATTAAATTACTTCACCAATAGGTTTAAATTTACAACTACGCATTTAAATAGATTAACAATAATTGTTATTGTTTGCCTAGGGGCGCCTCAAAAGTTGGAAATGGAGCATAGGGCGAATACATCAACAACCGTGCGCATAACGTCGGACAGTCCAGATCCATCAAATAGTTTGGCAAGTAACGTCAGTCAGGTAACCGTAGTTACAACTCATCCGCCAGTACTGATCGATGCAACTGCAAGTCCACCACCTCCGAGACGCACTTCATCCGAGGTTGTTATTGTTGCTAACGAAACGAATAAAACTCAGGTAGGCATTGTCATTTTTCTTTCCATCTCAATGTTTTAATACAATTTATTTTTAAATTTAAAGTGAAATTTATAAAAAATGATGAATTTAAATTATTTTTCGTTGATTAGATGGCATTTAAAAAAATAAAATCACTAAATACCTAATACATAAATTATAGTAGAATTGTCACGGTATTTTAGAGAATATTTTTTATAACACAAATTTTTATAAAATCATAATAATACAATTAACAAATAAAAAATTCTGAATATTGTGAATAAAAGGTGAACGAGAGTTCCGCCGAAGACGATGGTTTCACAAGCTTAGATAGTCTCGAATACACGCCGCAAGAGCAAGCAATAGTAATTGGCGCTGATCAATTGTCTGGTAAGAAGATCGGTAAACGTCTAGATGAATCGGAAGTCGTCATAGTTAGTGCGATCGAGGATAATCAGCAGCTGTTACAGGATACTAGTCACGTATCCGTTGTTACCGTAGGCGATGAACGCGAGCAAGTTAAGGACTCGTCAGCTCTGGATACTGGATCTGTTATCGACGATGATAAAACAAAAAAGCTAATGAACGGACAGGTGATTTTTATTTCTAATCTTTTAAGATATATTTAAGAATTAGATTGGAGAGAGGAGATACGCAACGTAAAATCAATGTAAATTTATTGCCTTCTAATAAGCAGACTAACAAAATATTTCGGTGAATTCTTTTAATTACATTTTACTTTAGTAATTATAGATACTTAAATTATCATTAATATTAATTAATATTTTAACTTTATAATGTTAAAAGTAAAACTTATTTTTTTTTCCTCAATATATTTGTATGAGTGGCTAGTAGAGTTGTATAATTATATCGCACAAGAATATTTTGTAGTTACTAATTAAGCGTGGGCATATTCAGGTGAGACAGAGCGTCGATCAAACACTGATGGGTACGAAGTCGCACGTTAAATCGAAAGATCCATCGAGCAACAATAAGCCAACCTCATCTCGACACAGCATCAGCAATCATAATAAAGAAAAGCGCGTTTCACCCGATAGCTATGACGGCTCCAACTCGACGCGCTGCTCACAAAGTGACTCGGGTTCAACGCGTTCTCACACCCCCAGCAAAAGTATCGACCGCTCGGACGCTGAGTCAATATCGACAACTATTAGCCAGGACAGTCGGGGCTCCAACAAAGAGACCAATCACGTAGGTAATAGTAATGGAGCCGGGCAGAGGTCTGAAATGGACGAAGAGGTCGTATTGCGTAGAAAGCCCGAGTACGCGCGCGAGATTCCTAGGAGGACGAAAGAAGATGCCGAAAGGATACAAATGATGAATCTTAAGAAAAAAACTCGAAAGCGTACGAGGAAATTTGAGATTGACGGTGTCGTCGTTACAACAACTACGTCCAAAGTAGGTTTTAATTTACTATCTTTTGAAGTATTTAAAATTAAACATAATTATGTTTTGTTCACATGGATTTTCGACTTTTAATCATAATAAGATGCTGGAGTTTTTAAAAGCACGTGCTTTTAAATGAAATAGGGCAAACGCACATGTCCTATTAATGCTACTAATGTGGTAAATTAAGGGAGAGTTGGTTAAAGAAAAATTACGATTTTACGCAGGTAATCTACGGCGACGATGAGAACGGCAAATTCTACGATGATCAAATATTCCGTAAACAGGAGTTGCGAGAATTGAAGATGCTGCAGAAGATGGAGCAAAAACAGTTCCAGGACTTATCCTTAAAAGCACAATTTAACAAAGATCAGCAAGAGAAACGCAACGAGCAAGAACGTCAGCTTCTCGAACGCACGGCAGAAGCTGATCTTGAAGCATTAATGAGACAACAGCGACAACAGCTGGATAGGGCTGAAGCACAACAAGAAGCTGATCTGAGACTTGCTTCAAAAAAAATCAGAGCCGAACAAGAGCGCGAGCTCAAGCAATTCAGAGAAGGCCTTAAGCAGGATTTGAGGCTGCTCAAACAAGAGGTTGATCTTATGCCTAAGGTCGTGTCTTTGTTATCTTAATTTACTTTTTAGAAACTGAATAAACTTTATAATACGATTATAGAAAAATTCTAAATCCTTAGTGAAAGAAAAAATATGTGTTGATTAAAAATATATATTTATTTGTGAAAAAACATGAATGAAAATGTATTCGGTAATTAAATTATTAAAAAACGGGCAAAATTCAAATAAATCTTACCGAGTAAAACAATTTCAAATAATAAAATTCTATTACGATTAATTTTTTAGGAAAAGCGCAAAAGCGCGTTTAAAATACGAAAGGAAAAGTTAGAGGCAGAACACGAAGAGCGCGAAAAGCTCTTTATGGAAAAACTGAATGAGAGCCACGAGACATCGTTACGCCGATTGTCAGATAGTCATCGTGAGAAAATTGCACTTATGGAACGTCAATTTCTGCAGCAAAAGCAGCAACTACTACGTGCTCGGGAGTCGGCGATTTGGGAGTTAGAAGAACACCAAATTCACGAGCGCCAGCAATTACTGAAACGACAACTCAAGGATATTTTCTTTTTACAACGGCATCAGATGCTCATCAAACACGAAAAAGAGCTCGAGCAGATGAAACGCATGAATCAACGTAAAGAAGAGGAATTAGTCAAAAGACAGACAATCGAGAGACGGAATTTGCCCAAGAGAATTCGCAATGAAATGAAGGCACGCGAAATGATGTTCAGGTATGTTTGCAAAGTATCTTATAATTAAATAGAAATTTCAGTAATTAATATCAGTACAAATAAAAATTCAGCTTATGCAGAAGTGTTTCATTTGAAAGTATATTACAATAAAAGTAGCAAGGCTTTAATCAATCATAATAAAATATATCAAATATAACTAAATGATTTAATACTATTTTACATGCAAATGCTTTATTGAATAATTGAATAGAGAGTCAATGAGAATTTCGATGTCGTCGACTCTGGTATCAGATCCGGACGCCGAGCGAGACAAGCTCAAAAAGTTCCAGGAAAACGAAAAGAAGAGGTACCGTGCTGAACAGCAACGCTTCGAGTTAAAACATGCACGTCAACTGGAGGAGATGAGGGCGTCGAGTGATGCAACTATTAAAGAGCTTGAGCAGTTACAAAACGAGAAACGTAAAATGCTTATGGAGCACGAATTAATCAAACTAAAGGAGCAAGAAGAAGCATATTTGAAAGAATTGCGCGAATGGAAAGGCCTACTTAAGCCTCGCAAGCAGGTATGTATCGGCTTTTTTTTTTTTTTTTTAGCACAATAAATGATAGCTTTTCTAATTATCATATTTGTGGAAGTTAATTGAACATGATATATATATATATAGCCTTTTCATTTATTTATGTATATATATTTATATATAAATGAATTAAAAGGCTTTTTATTTTATGTGAAAAGAAATAAGATATAATTACGAAAACGAGATTTCCATATAAAAAAAATTATACTTTATAATGTAAGAGTTGAAAATTTATGTCTTGTACATTGTATTTTTTAATAGTATAAAGTTTATAATGTACATTTAAAATTTGACAAATTACTTATATATATAAACGTAACTTTTATTTATATTTAGATAAAAAAAAAAATAAAATAATGATCTTTGTACATTTGACATTTTTATGCTAAAAATTTAACATATGTAATGAAAAATGCTACTAAATATACAAATAATATTTTTGAGTATAATATAAATGTTTATGTAAGGATTAGTTTAATAAAGATTAAATAATACTTCTGAACAATTTAATAATAAAGATATTCTTTCAAGCAATCTAATTGATTTTAAATTAATAAATAATTATAGCTAATCAATAACTATGCAAATTCATTGCACATATTTCTTAAATAACGTAATTATATTCATTTATAAATTATTAAAATAATAACAAATTCAAAATATATATATGTTATTGATAATTTTTTCAACACTATAATAAAATAGATCGTGTTAACTGTTAAAATTTTTATAATTATTACATATAATTAATTATTTTTAAAAATTATTCAAGTGTTTTAGCACGTTTAAGAAAATTTTCTGTGTCTTTTATATGGCTTAGTTGTTTTAGCTCAGAATAGACTAAATCTTATTTCGCATTATAAAATTTGATCAAATTTGCTTTAAATTAATTTATTTTAAAGATATACTAACAAATAGTGAAAAAGAAGGAAAATAATTGTACTGAAAATACAATTTAATTTAATATCGTGCCCATTTAATTCATTTATATATGCAACTATAATCATATTCATTTTCAATATTCTTTTATTAACAATAATATAAACAATATTATTGAATAATAATAGAATATATATTAGACGAATAAAATTATAAAATTTAATATGCGATTGAGAATAATAACATTATTTTTATTAATTATTGAATATAAGAATAAATCATGCGAGATGATTTATTTATTTTTATATTAATATATTGCGTTCTTATTAAAATGATTATTAACAGTATTACGTTATTCGACCTAATATTTAATTTGATATTTGAAAGTGGCACGTGATCGGACGGAGAGAAATCTTATCGTGCATTTGTAAATTATGCATACTTGCGTTAATATTGCAGCCATCGGTGTATCCAGTTTATTTGGTCAAAGATCGAATAGTTACATAATCTCATCACAACCTCACCGAAAACTATCTAAAAATGTAAATGCTATGTATTTATATGTTTTTTTTTTTTAGTAAAAATAATTGGGTTTTTTCCAATCCTACAATTTACAATTTCTAGAATGATGCATTCACCCGTAAATTACATCATAAGTGGAAATAACAACGGTTATTTTTAGTAAGCAAATAATGAAATATTATTAATAATTTATCATATATTATCAATGTATTTCATTATTTCAAGGTAAATTTTATGCAAGGAAATCTTTGAATAATTAAAGCATAATGTAAGATTGGAAAACTGCTCGAAAAAAATAACAGTTGAAAAAGTTGAATATTCCTAAACTACTGTAATATACCTTTTACAGCCTTATTAACATTAGCAACATTTTCGAACTAAAGTTAGTCTAGTAATGCTTCATTATACTATCGGTATTTCAGAGCTATCGATAAAAAAAATAATACTAATTATAGGTCAACTAACTAATGCAGAAAGGGATAATGAATATACAGTAGGTATAGATAGATTAAGTGACAATGCCAGACATTTAAAATGGCTGCGAGACAATATTTATAATCTCAGCACCGCGACAATATTATAAAATTGCGTGATCAATAACAATGAAAATATACGAGCAATGCACACTTGTTCTGCAGAACTTAGAGGTGGAGTTGGCATCGGAAATGGAAGCACTGGAGTCTCGTTACCGCGGCTATCTGCCCTCCCGCCTGAGCGGTTTCTACCTGACAAGCTATAGCCACTTTGACTTCGCCTTTACAAAATCACCCTCCAACTCCTCTGACACGCTGAGCAAGCGTAGACAACCACCTTCCCATTCCACGCCGAGTTCGCCTTTTAGCATACCCCGGGTGACATTACGCCTCGGTGGCTCGGAGACGAGTTCCCTTGGTGGCGGTACACTTCCCAGAAATTATACGACCGGCAAAACTCCCGATCTCCTCTCCCCGGCGCCACCAAATTAATGTCACATCCGTCACCTTGTTCTTATTTCGCTAAATCGATACCCTCTTCCCTAAGAGGATCTGTACTTGATTTTCGCGAAGAGGCTTGCCGATTAATCCGATGGGCAAATCGATGTATATTGTCTTTCGACGTTAAAACCGGTATCGCAATATATATAGTCTATTTACTATTTACGAACTTTTTGTATCGTAATCTTATTGCGTATTAATTGTGCTACGTCTCAACTCACTTACGTTAACATTTCTAGTAGCCAAGTGCATTAATAAAATTAAAAGGTGTACAATATTACTGAACGGACCAACAGCACTTGTTTTCAAGCACAATGCATTTAATATTGCAGCTTACTTAAGTCAAAATATTCTTTCCTTATAATGTCATGGGATTCTTTCAAAAACATGGATTTATATCCATTAGATGCAACGAGATAGTACTAATCGACGTAATTTCATGTTTTATAAAAATTAAAATAATGGGTAAATACTAATTGAAAGTTTAAACTATATTTTTGTAATACAAATTATATGCTACTTAAATTATATTTTTAGATTTTGCATATTTTACATTTTTTAAATTATTTCCTTAATTTTTATTTCCATAATTTCTCTTTACGAAACTAAAATATTAAAGAAATCATCTAGTGGAAATTACTTTAATAATTTTTGCAAATTATTCGAGCTTAATTAGTTTTATCTCTTCGAATTATTAAAAAAATATTATTTTACATATAAGCTAGATAATTGTGTAAAAATACCTATTTCCTTTGCTCTAATCAATCCTCTAACACAATAAAATTCAATTTTTATTTTGAATTTTTAAATGTTAAATAATGCGTTAACATTTAATTCATATTATTTTTATTAAGATGATTCAAAAACATTTTAATATTAAGATGAATGATGTATTTTTTACTTGAAAAATAATTGAAAAACTCATCGGATTAAAAATTAACATTTCTACAGAATTAGAATTACAAATATTTAGGTACAGCTCCTCAATATTATCATTCCATCATATGCTTTACTATTTTCATGTTTTTTCCTTTTTACTGATTAAAATCTAATTATCTCGATGAAAGAAATTGGATAAATGTTTATAATACAATTTTCAAATCGATATAAAAATGTATCGTCCATTCTATTTGTGTGGATTCCATTATCTACAGAATTGCATAGCATAAAAAATCAGTTAGTGCTTTAATTTTTTTCACGCTCTATATCAGTTCACTTTCTGTTCAAATCAATTATTCTAGCCTAATATGTATTTATATATATGTGTATGTATGTACGTATGTATGT